GGAAGAAAAAAAAAACTGAGCTCACTAATCACTCTCTTTTCCTTCGTCTGACCGGGTATACCGTCAGGTGGTTCGCTTAATTTGTTTATCCCGGCAACGTAAAGGAGTACGTCCGTTTCGTAGAGATGTTTCCCGATATACCGTGGAATCCTCCTCCAGTTTATTAGCTGGAACCAGAGGGAGATAGAGAAAAGGAGGCCGCCGGTGGGCCCCGAAGGGACGACTCGACTCTAATCAAAGGTTTCCCTTGATCTTGTGCTCGCAGGTCCACCGACGATCCTGGTGAGGCCGCAATCGCAGCAGGTGAAGGCGGGAGGGATTGCGAGTTTCTACTGCACGGCGCAGGGAGCGCCGCCGCCCCAGATCCACTGGAGGAAGAACGGAAAGAAAGTTACCCGTAAGTTTTCCCTTTTCACCCTTTCCTCCTTGCCGTCCGTACGCTTTCGCAAACTTTCCGCGCCGGTTCCCGACGGGTCTACCCGTCGCGTATCGCTTCACGGAAGTCGCTGGCATGTATCCTCCTTGACGCAAATTAGAATTATTATCATCGTAGTTCCATTCCTATTATCTTTGACGATGTCCCCAATTATCGGCGGAAAACTTGGGACCCTTGATAAATAAGATTTATGGATTCGAAGCGCCGAGAAACTAGCTCACGAATGTCCCTCGGAAATTCAGTTAACGCTTTATCTCTTACTATTCATTCAATTATACGAATCTTTCATTCTAACTTCTGCGTCTAATTATCGTATCAACGATACTGGGAGATAGATATTATACTGTGAAATACGTGAATAGACAGTAATATAGACGACTGAACTATATTCATTTACTACGAAACGATACTATATATTAACGCTCAACTGAACACGAACACAACTCTCGACACTACTTCAGACTCGTATTAAATCATGCTCTCAATCATTCTCTCAACAAAACCTCACACTCAAAGTAAAAATGGAAACCTTGAGTCTACAACGCTATCCTCCATAATCCTCTCACTCGCGTTCATTCCCAGAAATATCTGTAAGAATTATCCCCGTACGAGTCCTCAATGTTGTAGAATATATCCCGTACAAGTCGCAAGATCTTTACAGATCACTAAACTCTCGCTCGCCGATTACGCAAAGTTTCGGCTAAAAAGTCTCGCACTAACCTCTCGCTCAAAAGTCTTCCTCGGATAATAGGCACAAAATGTCCCTCGCGCACGCATTCCCACTTGCTTTTAACCCTTTGCGGACGACTGTCGACATTTCGACGAGATGAAATGCTCGTATTTCGAAGACTAAGTTGCAGACAAATGATTTAGTTACTCGGACAGCAAGAGATCATCGCGTAGTTTCCTTTTTTTCTATTGATTAAGCATTCGATGTATAATTCACATTTATCTGCTGAAGGTCTTGTATATTTCAAAGAATCAGATCTCACTGGCATCTTTCGTCCATGGTCAAAATTCACGCAGTCGCGTACACGCTTTTCTCACGGTCTAGTCGCTCGGTTCCACTCTTCCTCGCATTCTTCCAGCCACTCAAGATTTTCTAAACGCAGTCATACTATTTACTCACGCACAACAAACCATTCATCCCACATATCCCACGACTACACTAACTTCTACTACGCGATCCATAACGTTCCTCGTTACATCGCGCAAAAGAAAATCGCCACAAGGAACCAACGTAGCAAAGAAGATTCCAGTTTCTGTGACTCCAGCATCTCGGTTGTCGCGAGTATCGATCCAGATTTCCTTCCCAAGAAAATTTCGCGCTCGCCCGAGCTGGAAGGAAACGACGCGCCGGCTGGCACAGGCTCGACCCGGGTCGAACAGTTTCGGAAACTGGCCGGATCGCCGGGTTCGGTCGACGTAGTACACGCGCGACCCGACCGGTCGACCGACCGGTCGCTCCCCAGAAGCAGATGTCGCAATTCTCTCGAGAGAGATTCGATTATCTCGGCCGTCTCTCCCCTCGAGCGTGAACTGAGCGTCGCGTGTTTGTTCGCCGCGTTGGCGCCGCTCGATTCGGTAAATCGATATCCGGCCCCGCGCGCTCGACTCGGCCGTCCGTTCGAGGATGAAATCTTGCGCGTGAATCCGAGCCGGAAGCTCGCGGCCCCGTCCGAGGCGCTAATCGAGTTTGCAGCGCGCGATCCACGGAGCTGTTCCGCGTTCGTTCGGGGCCGATTAACCGTCGAGAATCGGCCGTGGCCGCGAAAAATCGCGGTTAACGCCGGCCTCGCGCTTTTGTCCGGGCGATCGTCACCGGTCGCGGCAAACGCCGTTGTTTCGCGATTGCTAATCCACCATGAGTGAAACAACGACGCGTGGCGGAGCCGATGGAGCGTGGTCTGCCCGTGAATCCGCTCGAATCGAATTCGTTCGCGCCTCTTAATAGGCGAATGCTGGAAATCAGATTTCGGCTTTTCCGCCTGGAAAAATAATCTTTGCTACAGTACCGTTGTTTTTTGTATGATTATTCTAGGAACGGTGTGTAGTGATTTGGTTGAGAGAATGTGTCTGTGAGTGTTGACCTTTTTAGCATCGAATGGAGTTAATTCGTCTTCCTTCTGGTTCATTTTTCTTATCGTGTATTTAACCTTTTGCACTCCGAAGTTTTTCACTAGAAATATTTCAACATTTTCTGATGAGATGAAGACGATATTTTGTAAAACCAACTCGACGAGAAATTCACGTAAATTGACGGACAAAGCAATTTTAAGTCAATATTTCTCAGATTGATGCATTATATGAAGTATAATATTAAATATCAAACTTTATAGCTTCATTGTAGGAAATCAAATGGTGACTGAGAGTCACCTTCCGAGTGCAAAGGGTTAAGTATGGAGGAGCAGAGGGATCGCAGTATTGAAAATCTTTTATTATGAGAATAGAAAAGCGTGATCCAGTTTCTGAACTGAAACGAGAGTAGTTGATGTTATTGACGTGATTGCAAAGACCTCTAAAACGGTTAACACGTTCCGTGCCACGTGTACCACATGTGGTACACGCCAATGTTTGTAAGAAAATATTTTTAATGGGTATATGGTCCGCGGTATACGTTACAAAGCAGTGAAAACATAAAGAAACAATATTAAAATATATAAAAATGACTAGGAACTTGAATATAACTCATTATTTGATTGAAAAACTCAATACAGTTCATAAGCAAAATATAACCGAAGTTTCCGTGGCACGGAACGTGTTAATCAATTGAAAAGCAAAAATCACCGGTGTTAGAAAGGAGAGATGATCCGATTCGTATGGCGCAATTTGCGCCTAGCTTCCCCTGGCGACGTCCGTCCGTCCTTTTTATTCCATCCGGGTCGCCTAAGTTCTCTATGTTTACTCCGCAGAGGCTCAGGCACGCTACCTGGTGCAGAACTATGAAAACGGAGCTTTATTGCGGATCGAACCTGTCAAAGCGATCCGCGACAGCACCCAGTTCGAGTGTCTAGCCGAGAATGGAGTCGGGGACGCGGTGTCAGCCGAGGCGCAGCTCAAAGTCTACGAAGGTACGTACTCCCACTGTCTTTTCCACGGTCTTTTGATGTCTGCCACGCGATATTCCGTTCGATCCGGGCCACCACCGTGAACGCTAAGCTCCGGGATGGTTATTAACGCGACACAGGCGACGCCGCAGCGGCGGCTTAATATTTAACGAACGCTCGCCGGGCAACAGCTGCCGCGCGCGCGCTTGGCACGATCAGAATTTTCAGCACGCTGTGGCCGACTTCTAGCTCGTTCCCCCGGCTAAATTAAGCTTCCACGATCATCCCGATCATCGCCGACCGGTCCCCGATGAAGTGTTCGCGACGCGGACACCGGGAAACGGGAAAAACGGGGGACAGGTCGCCGCGGGATTCCGGAAAAACGCAAGAACGATCGAAGTTCCCGGCGACCCGCGAACGACGCGGCAAGATAACGAGCTAAATTTCGTTGAAATTAAACGAAGTCTTTCTTCTTCCTGTATTCCGGGCTAGCAGGAGGGAGGGGAGGGGACCTCTCTTTCTCTCTTTCTATTTATACGGAAGAGCGAACAGCTTAATGGCGCCCAGTTCGGCGACCAGGCGGAAGGCGACGTAATAGAAAAAAAGAGAACGCGGCCGCCGTGCGCCGGGAGAGAGAGCTTACCCTTTTCCGGGAAGAATCTCTTAAACTTTCGCGAAACGCCTTAATTGGCTCAGCCAGCTTTTTAATTCGATTCCAACTCTGCTTGCCGGATATTTTTGCTCGCAATTTCTCGTATTCTTCCTCCGGCGGCGGAGAAAAAAGAGGAAGGAACTCGCTCCACGGCGGAGGAGTCGTTCCGATGAGCTTCTCGTTTTCGCGCTTCGTT